GCTACTATCATAGCGTCCGCCACGACAAGGGTGGTAGTCGCGGCTGGCCTCCTCTCTCTTATCCCCCCGTCAACGCCTATGGGCGTCTAGGGTGTTACGTGCGTCATGGTTGGGGCTGAGACACTCATGCACCGGGACCATGGCAAGCCCCCCCGCCGTCGCGTGGTGCCTAGCGAATGGATACGTCCTGGCCATGTTGTCCCAAAGACACGCGCTGACTGGCATCGAGCTTGCATCGCTGAGACAGTGAGCTTTTCGCCTGTTGCACCACCGCGTGCTCGAGCAGCGTGCAGATCTCACGATTGGCACGACGGTCTTTGGGTGTTGTGGGCTTCGGGAGCCCTCGGAGCATGGCCACTGCGGCAGCTATGTTCTGGCTTGCTCGAGCGAAGTGTGGGAGGCCTTCGTCATCCTCGATGATCCTATGGTTTACCTCACAGGCGATGGCGTGTGCATGGCCACCATCTCCATGGCGTTCGATCTCGTGCTCAAGCTACACATGCTCCTGCTCCAGCTGGAGTCACGCATCCTCGATCTCCTTGTGTTGTGCCCTCAGTCGCTCCACCCGTAGGCGAGACGGGGCCCCTGCATTTGCCTCGACCTCATCGTCGGGGTCATTCGTAGGAGTAGCCCCTCCCTCGTGGACGCTTTTGACACATCCCTCAGGGGTGCCTGCCATGAAGCTTTCTGGCGAGGGGTGATGGCTTTCCCCTACTGGAGTCAAAGTCAGAGATCATCTCTGAATCTCTCATGATGTTGTGGAAGGATTCCACGACGTAGTCCGTCATACCCACGAATTCATCATCCATGTGGGATGGGTGCATGCGCTGTGCCACAAGGTGACCAATGGTCCTTCCAGCGTTGTGCAGACCGAACGGGAATGCTGTCGGGGCGCTCCCAGTGAGGTATTCCGGGGAGAGCGGTTCCCCTCCGGCAAGCTGTGTCATGACGTTGGCGAACGAGAAGTTGAGGTAGCATAGGTCCTCTCGGGATGGCTAGGGTCCTAGGAAGGTGTCGAGTTGTTGCTCCAGCCTCCCGTAATCGAAGCCAAGGAGTTGGTCGCTCCTAGGGGCACGAGCCTCTAGGGCATGCAGCTGTAGCTCTTCGAGGGCCTCGACGGTTGCGTCAAGGGTGGTGGAGCGAACAAGTTGAATGGGGCCCAAAGCGCACGTGCGTGCCTGGGATCCGGCTTACATCATGGAAAGCCATTCGTGGCCTGTTGTGGACAACGAGACACGCAAAAGGCCCCAACCTGGCGCGCCAATTGTCGGTGTTTTGAACCGCAGACTAGTAAATTTGTGTTTGCACGTCTTGCCCGGATGGTGTGCTCGGAGGACACAAGGGTTTATACTGGTTCAGGTGGAATGTCCCTACGTCTAGTTTGAGGCTGCCCGTGTTACCTCCACTTGTTTGTAGTAGGGGTTACAAATGGGCGAGAGAGGGGGAAGGTCCCAAGTCTCTGATGGAAGGATCAAGTGGAGTTGAGTCTAGCTGAACTCGTTCAGTCGTTCCACGTCGTGCTCTTCGTGGGGCGTTCTACTTTCCCTTTTATAGATGAAGGGGAAGGCGTAGGTTACATGAGAGAAAGAGAGAGAGAGAGAGAGAGAGAGAGAAATGAAAAAAGCGAGGAGGAAGGCCTCCGAGGTCGTGGCGCCCTTCATCCCCTTTACACGGGTCTCGCCGGTCCTGTAGATGATGACGGGGACGGCTTCATGTCGCGACCCTATTCATCACTGGCGCTATACACAGGCGTCGTCAGCCGGTCGTGGCGCTCCATTCTATCCCGACGGGTGGCATGGTTAGCAGGTACCCCCGTCGGAAGTCGTATGGGGATTAGGTAGCATAGCGCCGGCACGCCCGACACTGTTGGCGACGTGAGTCCTCAGGTATGGCCCATCGTGGCCGTGGGTCATGTCAAGACGCGCCTACTCCCTTTCTGGTGTTAGAAGTTTGACCCTGGGTTCGTACTTTTAGACCCGTAGTGGTTGGAGGCGGTACGGACCCCCGTTGGGTGAGGCGGAATCCCCCTTCGAGGGGTCTGGTGAGGCGAAGTCCGTGTATGAGGGGTCGGGCGAGATGGCGCCCATACCCTCTGGGTCAGGCGTGACGGAGCCCGCGCCCTTAGGGTCGGGCAAGACGGAGCCCGCGCCTGAGGGGTCTAGCGAGACGAAGCTCACACCCTTGGGATCAGGCGAGACGGGGCCTGCGCCCTCGGGGTCGGGCAACACGGAACCCGCACCTTTGGGATCGGGCGAGACAGAGCCGGCGCCTAAGGGGTCTGGCGAGATGGAGCCCGCGCCCTCGAGATCATGCGAGACGGGGTCCGCGCCCTCTAGGTCAGGCGTGACGGAGCCCACGCCCTCAGGGTCGGGTGACACGGAGCCCGCACCCTCAGGGTCGGGCGAGACGGAGCCCGTACCTTCGGGGTCGGACGAGACCAAAATACACTCTTGACCATCCGGGCGAGTTAGCGTTCGCGGCCATCAACTTCCTTCTTCCAGGTATCCCTAATACTGATACGCGACACGGATCATATGCTGGGCCAACGCTGAAAATGCTTATCACCATCGGTGGACCAACCAGAAGGGACCTCTTAGGCCAAAAGCTGGGAATGATAATTATCACCGCCAGTTGTCTCGAAACCGTTGGTGAAAGCCACGACGGAGATTAAACTTTCTGTAGTACTGTATCTTTCTCTCTCAGGTCCAAAGCCCTCTCTTCTTGTATGATATCTAGAGTCTCAAACTCCTTAGGCCCCGTTCGGTTGTTCCAGAATAGGCCGTTCTGCGCTAGGATCCTTTCCACGCTAGTTTAAATTAGTGAAGAAATTGTTCAGCTTGGAATCAATCTAAGGTAACCGAATGAGGCGTTAAGGAGTTCCTACTTTTGCTTTCTAATACTAGCATTAATATTAATATCCCAACCCTTAATTTTCTTTCTTAGCAATCTAACCTTAAACTGCCAGATGTCCATAGGGTCATCACAGGCACAGGGAGTTTCCCAAACTTTTTCCCCCCAAATTATTATAATCTGGTTGCTCAAGCCACCATTTCTCAAATCTAAAAATTAATGCTATGTTTTTTAGACTCAGACACACCTAGATTCCAGATCAAAGGGACATGGTCACTGCCCACTCTAGCCTTAGCAGTCACAAATGCCAGGGGGAACTTCCATTCCAATGTAGTTGTGCAAAACATTTTATCTAAGGCTACCATAATAGGCTGGTCTTGATTATTTATCCAAGTATAAGATCTAGTAGAGTTCTTAAGTTCAATTAGACCCCATTTATTTGTCAAATCCAGAAAGTTACCAGCCCATTTCTGGTTGACTTGACCATTACTTTTTTCTCTAGCTGTAGTAACAATATTAAAGTCACCACAAATCTAGGAGCCCCTCTAATTCCAGTAAGAAATCCATTTTACCCTCCGCGTAAGGGGAGCCATATACCACTATTAGTCTCAAGACAAAATTATCGGACTTGCTAGCGCCCGGACATCTAATCTGGGGCAGTAGCGTCCGGACGGTGCCGCACAGACAGCGAACGAGCGCCCTAGCACGTTGGGCTCATGAGAGAGCACCCAGCAGTGGGCCCGCGCCGTCCTGGATGTCTCCCATGCCGTCACGAACATCGCTTGCGCCACCAGCCGCTTCCCACGCGCATCCCATGTGCAACATCCAATCTACTTTTGAAACATCTAGATGCAACAGTTGCAACATACAAAAGAAGACAGATGAAACACTTGAAATAAGCATCTGAAACACTTACAAAACACATAAAAACACTTCAAAACCATTGTAAAACATACACATCATCCATATAAAACATTTGCAACATACGTGTGAAACATATGCAACATACAGATAAACGCACTTGCAACATACGTCTGAAAAAACAGATGAAACATTGGGAACAAAAGCTTGCAACATACGTGTACAACCATTGCAACATTTCGATCTACTTTTGCAACGTCTATACAAAACACTTGCAACATACCTTTGAAACATCTGAAATAGACACTTGCAACATGCGTTTTTAGCACAATATTATAAAGGACTAGTAGAGTCATCGAGGATGAGCGGCGTGGTGGCCCAGATGTGGCGCCAGCGCGGCGGTGTAGGCGACGTCCTTGATGGGGAGGTGGGAGACAATGTTGGAGAGTAGCATGTCCTCCAGGCGGTTGATGCGGTCCTCGTTGGCCTCGGCTTCATCGACGACGGAGCAGGCGGCTGCGGAAATGGAGCCTTCGGCAGGTGAGGGAATGGGATGGGCTGGGTGGGGATGCAGGCGAAGATTTCTTCCATGATGCCATAGTCCCCCGTGGTGGCCATCGCTGTGGGCTGCGGTGCCGAACCGGAGAACGGAGACGGTTTTGGTTGGGGAGGTGTGGGATTGGTCAGTAGGTGGTGATGGTGTGGATGGTGCCGTGGTGGCCATCGCCGCGCCGCGAGGATGTCCCACTTGGGCACTCAACTCGTAGGGTTTCAGTTCCAATAGGCAAGTGGAGAGTTGGGCTGTTGAACTGGTGTCGTGGCTCATCAACAGAAGCTTCCGGACGGACGGATGTCCTCAGCAAAATTATCTGTCAATTTTTAATGATCCCAGCTACACTAAAAGAGCCATTTTTCCAGGCTGTTACCTCAAACTTCTTATCATTTAAGCCTACCAAGATACCACCAGCAGTACCATTGGCAGGTAGAACTTGCCAGATAAAACCCCTGTTAACACAAGAGTCATTAAAAGATTCCTTCTTAGTTTCTTGGATGCCCACAGAGTGTAATTTATTATCATTCACAAAACCAATGGTTCTTTGTTTTGGGCTTTGCCTGTAGAGACAACTTGAGCCCAAGACCGTCTAACAAGTTCACTTTTTTCCTTTAAAGGAGTTTGGTTTTCAGCATTCAAAGCTGGAAAATCAATAGCTATTTCTTCTAAGTTCAGATCCCTAGGAAGGTTAACCTCAGGGTTAACACACCAGTAATCAATCTTACAGCACTGGTTGTCACACTCGGACCAATGCCTGAGAGTTCCAGCACTGGTTGTCGCACTCGGACCAATGCCTGAGAGCGACATTGGTGCCATGGTCCTTGTCATCCAGGAAGACATGGAAGTTGAGGTTGATGCTGTCCAACGGGCAGTTGCACCGGAAGCCATGCCCCACATCACAGCTCTCCGTCCACAACACCGACTTGTCCACGTAGTTCGGATTGTACGGCACGAGCTTCACCTTTGGAACATAATAAACAAGCAAGAAAAGAAAACCTTGATCAGTTAAGCCTGCGGTGTGGTGTGATGATCAAATAAAGATCTGACAAAGGTGCATATATAGTTGCTTACTGCAGGGTGGTCTGTTGATGAGAGAGCGTTAATGCGTATCGGTTTGGTACCGGAGAAGAACTTGATGGCCTCGCCACTGAATCTGTTGATGAGAGCGAATCCGGGATAGCCTTCCTCGTCCTTGATTCTGTTTCCGTACCTCGTGTCCTTGATCCAGTGCTGGTACTTGTCGGCAGGGTTGTTGGGCACGAGGCAGACAGCACCGTCGCGGACTGCGAGGCTAAAGCCCTCGCCACCCTTGTTGTGGACGCGGCAGGCGGGAATGGCGTAAAGCCCGCCGCAGGTCGCATTGGCTTCGTCATTCCAGTAGAGGATCTTCCAGCTCTGGGTATCGCTCTCGGCCCGCTTGTTGGAGAGCACCACGGTGGTGCTGTCTGTGTCTGGCATATGCACGCCACCACCAGCACGGATGGCGTTCAAGCCCAGGCTGATGTCATGGACCATGCGAATGCAGCCGAAGTCCTTGCCCAAGTCGCAGCTCTCCGTCCACAGCAACGACTCGTCATAGTTGTCCGGGTTGAACTTCGCCAGCCTCACCTGAAATCAAGGGCCCCAGACACTTCATTCCAATCTGCATTCTCCATTGACTCAAAGAACAACTACATATGGACAATAATCGAAGCAATAACAGGAAGAGCATAGGGAAGGTTACCGGGTGGTTCATGCCAAGGGAGTGCTTGATGGCAAGATTAGTTGCTTTGTTGACGAGGGAGAAGACAGGGTTGCCCTCCTCATCCTTCATCGCTATGCTGAGGCGCGTGTCCCTGAACCAGTGCTGGTGCTCGTCGCGGGAGTCGGCGGGGACAAGGGTGCCATCACGGAGGGCGAGGCAGCACCCCTCGTCGGACTCGGACTTGCAGAAGATCTTGAAGGTGGGCTGGTGCACGCTGCTGATACCATCTCTGGCAGGATCAGGGTGCGTCTGCACGCACCGGCCATGGCGACTTTCATGGTTGTCACTTCCTTCTTCCCCATGAAATGTGATTGCATTCTTCTTCTGGGGAGTCCCTTTCTTGGAGGCGGTATCCCTTTTCTCCGGGGGTACGAAACAAAAGCTGGTCCAAATCCTTTTTGAACCCTGCTCAACGAAACATGTCCCAATATCCACGTGGCCAACTACCAAGGGTTTCAAATTACCATTATATGTTAGTTCAGTTTAACCTGAACGGTGGTGATAAATAGCTTAATTATCTGGAGAACCACCGCGACGGTTATAATCACCACCTAGCATAGTTCAAAAATAGGCAATCACATTAGATACGATGAACAGTTGCAGAAACTCAGAGCTCTTAAATGAAAAGGTGCTAGAAATTAATAATCACCTTGCACCACATAAAACATAATGGCACCAGAGATTGTGTCTTTACCAACATAATCGAAGCACGTCCTATCAATGTCCCAAAATATACGCCATGAAAACGGCCGACTAATCTCATCACCGAGGTAGTAAGAATCACCTTGTTCAGTTATCTCATAAGCAGCAAATCTCCCATCTCTGCATGTGTAAATAAAACCCTCTACATATAAAGATCTCCCTGATAGAAGTCCAATAATATAAGAGCTTGTCAAGGCAGCAGTCCATCTATGCGCTGACAGATCAAGCAAGAAACAGCTATTTGTGTCAGCATCAGAAACCATGAAGGAATCTTCACTTAAGACCACATATATCCAGACAGGTTAATCTTCCTTTTCAGATCGATAGAACCATGTGTACTGCAATGCATCCATCTGTTTTCGGGAGGCTTAGACAAAATATAGACATACTCGAGAGAATCACTTATCGCAAAGATCCTTCTACCAACATTATGAACATGAGCTATTGAATCGAGATGAACAGGTTTTCCTGTGGGAGAATGGCTGATGGTTCCCGAATCCAAGCTGCACCTATAGATTTCATTTTCTCTGCTTGGGAGTTGGGACAGCACTTATGAATTTCTGCCACAAACAAAATGCCATGATAAAGGATGCTCCATCAGATCATACTCATCATCAGATATAATAACCGTGTCCACACAGCGCAATGCGGTGTGAGAGTCTTGCCTTGGCAACCCAATCTTCCATCCGATATAGTGATCTTATACACAGTTGAACGAGAAGCAACTTGGCAAATAATATATAGAGCTTTGTTGATCTGGATAGCAGAGTCATCTAGCACAAGAGAATGGCAATATGAAATCCCATTTAAGATCCTCCTGTACAAATTTCATAGCACAAAAAAGTGGCATTCAAAATCCCAAGGAACCTTAACAATAATGACGTACAGCAGAATATTTTAGTCAAATAAAGATTCTTTCACGGAGAAGCAAGAATTCCGACCTGCAACAAGTATCTGTCAGCACTGAAGGCACAATTTTGTGATCTCTCAACAATTTTTGGGAGGGGATTGCACTCGCATGATCAAACTCCTCGTACTCTCTAGTTCGGCGTTCAAAAAGGGAAAAAAGAATCATAAGAATAAGTGACTTTTAATGGAAAAGCGAATTGATAGCAAATTGAAAATCTTTCAGTTACATGTTTCTTTTTCAACACCAAACTATTGTTTTTTTCTGCTGAACAGCATGTTCCCGATTGCGAAAACAAGAAGCCAACAAGCTTGACACGAACCAGTGAGAATGGAGACTAGGAATTAATTAATAGGGGGGTTAGGGGGGATTGGAGCAGTTAACTTACTGCAGGAAGCAGAACTCGGAAATGACATTGGGTTTGCTTGGGGACATGTCTAAATGGCGGCAGGTGGAATGCAGAATGTTGACATGTTCCGGAACAAACATCTCATGTTTGCTCCCATTGTTGCCTTGGACTACAAAGGTGGTGATCACCGCGTGCAATGTATTGCAATTACAGCGGAAGTACATGCCAATCCAGACAGCGCACATGATCCGGCCACCCAGATGCGTGAGCAACCCATAGCCTTCCTTGAAAAAAGGAAGAAGACAATCAACCCTGGTAGGCGGCGCCATCCGGTATTGATCTTGATCCTGATCTTTGCACAGCTTGTAGGCATAGACAGCACTGCCACTAAGAAAGTACATGGTGTCATCTTCTTCCACGTACACACCACGCTCATGAATTGGGGTGTAACTGGAGTTCCGGCCCTCCTCGGTGGTGGCAACGGAAGCCAAGGTGTTGGTGGAGCAATCGAAGGTGAAGAAGCGGTGAGACGGTTGCATCGACAGCCTAGCAAGATGGTGCTGCCGACCACGGCATATCCCTGCAGTACGCGGCGGCCGGCCAACGATCCTTGATCCTTCCGCCGTGGCAAGTCGATGGCTCGATGCTAGCGACCTCCACCCACAGACCGTCATCCTTATCAAGGCGTAGCCGTAGCATCTCGAGGCGGGACGGGTCATAGTGTTTGGTACGGTGATGGTGAGGTACGGCGCCCAGAGATGGCCGGCTGCTGAGATTGGGCGGGTAGGCATGCCCGGCTTCAGTTCCGGCGGTAGGCCAGGAAGGGGGGATACGGTGATTCCTCTGTCGTCGGCGGCGGCGCCCAGGTTCAGGTTCAGCTGCAGGGGCCGAGCGGACACGATGTGGTCGAGATCGTCGAGCCATATTTCCCGACAGAAGAGGCAGAGCGAGCGGCCGTCGGGGCCCGGCGTCGCGCGCGCACTGGAGACGTGCGACGATGCGTCCTTGGCTTCGTAGTCGTAGTCGACGTCGTCCCAGATCTCGAGGGCATCGCTGCTCCGGCCAAGGACACGACCCGAGCGCGCGACGCGGAACCAGTGCAGGCGTAGCAAGCTTTCGCCCAGGGAGAAGCTCGAAAAGTAGCCGACGAGCAGCGACCACACGGCGCGGTCGTCTGCGCCGGCGGGCATGCTCTCGTAGTGAGCAGAACCTACGGCATTGGCAGAAGCATTGCCCAAATGTGCAGGTACTCCCCTTCCCCTCGGAAAGCGGCGGCGATGGCGGCGCCATGTATCGTGGTCTCGTGGACTTCCCAGCACGGCTGGGCTGGGATTTGGGAGACGGAGAACCGGAGGCCAGACAGAGTATTTATTTTGCTATAACACGCGACATGGAGCGATCTCGACTTCCCTTGGGTGGGCCGTGTCCGGTCGGAACTCGGATATCACCGGACATACTTGCGGGAGAGGAACATCGTCCGACGGCAACCAAGGCGTGCTGCACCTGCACGCAGCTCTGCATCACGTATGCCGAGAATTCCTTTTCCGTTTGCCCCTTCCTTTACCATCTCTTTTTCCATGCATACGCATACTTCGCTGCATGCTTAAAAACCTATATATTTCCTAGTTAACATATACTATATAAAAACAATTATGGCTAGTAATTAATTTCAAATAATATAATTGGTGAAACACGCTAATTTAATCATACTTAAATAATCTGTTTGTTTCATGTAAGCCAATGTTATTGTAGCCAACACCTTAACGCAAGAGACTGATCGAGGACCCAGCGAATTGCCCATTTCCATATATTTTTTTAAATGCTAACAATAATCAAATACTCCATCCATTCCAAATTATAAAACATTTTAGCTTTAACTTTTGCTACGCACCTAGATATATGTTATGTCTAGATACATAATAAAAGCTATAAATTTAGAAAAATGCTAGAACATCTTATAATTTGGGACGGAGAAGTATAAGATATATAACAATTATGAAATACAAGATATTATCTCGACTATAGTGATTGACTATAATGATACAATTAATTATGAAGGAATCGTGACGTCGAAGAGGAGTGAATTAGGCTTTCTAAAAAAATATTTATAAAATTATGATCTCTATTTTCTACCTAGTCAAAACCTATGCAATAAATAAACTATCTAGATGTGCAACAAATATTTTGCTAAGTGTATTGCTATCTCTACCGTAAGAAGAGTTATGTGACCTAGGTTTCAATGCTATAAACTAACCAATCAAACTAAGTTAGAAAGGTAAAGCACATAACCTAAGTACACAATATAAATGCGGAAGCTTAAGGGTAGAGATTGCAAACTCCCGTTGATGATTCCGATATTTTTATCGAGGTATAGATAAGCTTTCCGCTTCCCTCTAATTCTCGTTGGAGCCCCTCGTAAGGATGCCCTCGCAAGGACCAAACTCTCGGTCAGGTAACTCCGCGGATAGCCCCCGAGCTTTCCCTACGTACAAATGGGTCTCCGAGATGGCTTCTTCTGGACGGCTCCTCACTAGCAAACACCATGGGCCTTATTCCCTCCGGTACCCGGTGACGACCACACCACAAACACAGTTGGTATGGTCTCACAAGATTACAAGCCCCTCCAAATACAACAGTGGTGCATGATAAGAGGTATGCAAATCTCAATAAACACTAGGCCAACTTAGAGCAAGATCAATTAAGCTGGTATAACTAGCCTAAGCACTTCGCAAAGCACTACGCTAATCACCTAATCTTCTCTTAAGCACTTGTGGTAGCTAGAGCACTTGGAGAAGTGTCTCAAAATTCCTATATCTTCAGCACACTAGGCTAACTAAAACAGCCGACCAATGGGGAATTTATAGGACCCCAAAGAAACTAGTCGTCAGCTATTGTCTATGTACTCACCGGATTGGACCAGTGGCACCACCAAACTAATCTGGTGCTTGTCCCAAACTAGCCGTTGCCGACCATTAGAGTAGCGCTTGGTCCAGTGCGCTAACTCCCTGTACCACCAAACTAATCCGGTAAGTCACTTGTAACATCTTAAAAATTGCTCTTTTTGAAATAGGGCTAAAAAGATTTAATTTTATATTTTTGTGCTCATAAAAACATAGAAAAAATAATATCTTTCAGTAAATTAAAATTTATCATGAGGCTTAGCAATATTTTTGTGCATTCATGCCGATGCATACTTACTTTTGTGATGAGTGGTTTTGTCTAAAATTCAAAATATTTTCAAATGCTTTTGAAATGGTTTGAAAATGGATTTGAAAATAGAACTTAGACAAAAAAGAGAAAAGAAAAAAAAAAACAAACCTCACTCTCTCCCTTCTCCCCTCGACCCAGGCGACCTGCTCCGCTCTCCCTCTTCCCGCAGGCCCAGCTCTCTACTCCTTTCCCGCGCGGCCCAGCTAGCAAGCAGCCGGCCCAGCTCCCCATCCTCCCCTCTCCTCCCTCGGCCTGTTTTCCCGCACCGCGCGCTGAAGGCCCAGCTAACCCAGTAGGCGGCCCAATCGAGCCGCATCCACGCTCCCATCTCTCCGCGTGCAGTCGCTGACAGCCGGCCCCGCTCTCTCACCCGCTGACGCCCAGGACCCATAGGTCAGTGTTGTCACCTATCTCCCGTTCGTGCCCGATGCGGACTCCACCACCGCCGCGACGCCGTCCGCCTTGTCGTGTACTCCACACCTCTCCGCCCCCATAAAAGCCGAGCGCCGTGTCTGCCGCCGCCGAGCACTGTGCCACCTCCACCCGCTCCGCGCCGCCGAGATCCGCCGTGGTAAGTTCGCCATCATTCCCTCGTTCTCCCGGTACTTTTCTCACTTTGAATCCATAGCCGTAGGCCGTCTTCCCCAAGCGCCGCCGTCTACGGCCATGGCGTCACCGCAGCTAGCTCGCTGCCGGCCGGCCGCGCCTTCTCTCACCCTCCCTCTTCTAATCCCGGCCGACCGAGTTAGATCCAATGGCTGAGATCACGCGATACCTCTTCGCCGGCAAACTTTCAAAAGAACCCCTCTAACTTTTTAAAATAGAACCCGCGGTCCAAAGCGTATTTCCCAGAATACCTTTTCTGTTTTTGAAAATGTATTTTCCTTCTGTTAGCCTCAGAATACGTTTTCTCTTTCTGGAAAGCGTAAAATTCCTCTGTTAGATTGAAAATACGTTTTCTTCTTTTGAAAACGTAATTGCTTCGGTTAGATCCAAAATACGCTTTTATCAATTTACAGTTTTGCCACTATTTTCTTTAGGCCATAACTTCTCTGTTTTAACTCTGATTTGACCCGTTCAAGTTGCGTTAGATTCGTAAATGCGTAATCTACATATTTATACTACTGTTAAATATATTTTCAACATTTGAAATTTAAGGTTAGATTTAATCTATTATTTTATTAAAGGAAATCTTGTTTAATTCATAACTTCTTCGTTATAGCTCTGATTAGATTGTTTTCGCGTCTGTGTGTTCGTAACAACGTGTAGAACATCTTTAAAACATTTTTACTTGTTGTTTATTATGTTTAGTGTACTGTTCTAATTTAATTCTATTGTTTGCTTCGTGTATGTTTGCATAGATGCTTGTGTGGTGCTTTATGATTATGTCCAGCCGGTGAGCTTTGCTTTGGTGATATAAAAGAAGTTGGTGGACCAAAAGTAGTCCTTTGAAGGTTTGGACTAGAAGAAGATCAGAGTTTAAGGCAAGTATAGCATGGGATTTTTCTTGTTGTCCTATACACCTTTAATCATTCAATTTATACTGCATGTGTCTATCTTGACTACCACTAAGGATTTCCTAGTACTTTGTTACCCTGTACCTTGATTCCTATGGGTTATTGCATTGGGTAGTATGATGCTAGTGCTCAACTACAACCATGATCTTGTAACTTGACTAATGAAATATGCAATAAACATTAAAAGATGCTTTTTAGCAACATGGAACAAGGAGGCTAGAGCATTGGACTGTTTTTATGGTGCTCTAGATTTCTCTCCCTAAGGACTTATCTGTAAGCGAACATCTGAGACTTATAGTACAACTGTGAGGGCTACATGGCTCTGGTTTTAGTCAAGTATGAGGACCTTTTCTAGCTTGATTGTGGTTACCTTTATGGCGCAAGAGGGGCTCTAATTGGTTTGATTTTGGCCAGCCAAGGGAGTGCACTTTTGTTTCCTTAGTGACCCCTTGGGGGAGGGGTCTTAGTGGTTGATGGGGAATCCTTAACAGCCCTAACTTGTTAGATGAACTTTTGAAATGCTTCATAGTGAACCCTGATGACCTTTCTTGGTAGTGGGTTAAGAGGCTAATCACCTCGGGCGAAAGGGTAAATCACAACTCATAGTAAAAGTGTACAACCTCTATAGAGTGTAAAACTAGTATATCAGCCGTGCTCACGGTCACGAGTGGCCTTGGACCCTTACGGAATAGATGATGAACACTGATGATACGGATGATGAAGATGCTCACTAATGATTACTGTTTATGCTATTCATTATTCATGTTTACCTAATCATGTGTTTATATGGGCTTGTGATAAACTTGATACTACATAACTGCTTAAAATCATGACTCATTAAAAGCTAATCGCAGTTAAACCAGTGTCATCCTTTTGAGCCTCATTAACCCCATGATACATTTGTTGAGTACAACATGTACTTACGCTTGTTTTATTTTTCAATTATTTGGATAAAAATTCTGGATGGATACCAGATTGCTAGAGTTTGGAGGAATTAGGCTTGTGATCAACCAGTCAGTTGTCCCTATGGAATTGGAGTCTTCACCCGAAGATCGAAGTTGTCTTTCCGTTGTTTGCTGTCTAAGGTTATATTCTTTATACTAAGTACATTATATATTGAGCATTGTCTTTCGATATTACCCTTATTTGTAGCTATATATGAGATTTGACTTCCTAGGCTCACATATGGTGTGTATCTGGTTTTGTTCTTAAAACCGGGTGCTACATCAGTAATCCTTGGCTCCGGTCTTCAATAGTCACCGAACTGGGCACATTAGTTCGGTGCTCATCACCAAACTAATCTGATGGCTCTCTTTTTTGCCTCTAGAACCTCTTTGGTGGCGATCGCTTGGTTCGGTGTTGGCTTCCTCTAAGCACCGGACTAATCCGGTGATGCTTCAAACCCTAACCTGCATGGCTGCATCCCTAGTAACCGTATGGTCCAGTGCTACCCTCTGATGGAC